GGTCTACATAGTGAGTTCCAGGATAGCTGGGGCTACAGGGAGACCCTGTCTCAAAAAGACCGAAAAAAAAAAAAAAATACTCAGGGGACTTTGTTTTTTATATGTTGTTGGGGTGAGGTATCAGATAATCGTTCTTCCAATTAAGTCATAAGATTTCTTATGGCCTCAAACTTCTTTATGGTCTTGAATTGAAGCATGAAAAAATATGAGATGTCAGACAGAACCATGGACAGGTGCAGGGCACATTGCTGTCTGTCCGTCCCTCAACACAGAGGAGTGGAAACATTCCACAGTGGACAACATGAGCTTCAAGATTGCAGCCCAAGTTTTGTACCAGGCCCTGGAGAAGCAGAACTCTCACACCATCCTACAATCTTCAGAATGTGAGTAGAAGCCTGGATTGGACCCTGGGCTATGGCCATGACAGAGGAGTCCAAGAAATGAAATTGCAGAGAATGGAGGCAGCAGCCTTGAGATGGCAGAAGTGATCAGGACCTCAGGGCAGATGGGGCTGTGGTTGTGGAATCATCATCATCTCTGTGACTGAGATGGGATGGGGGGGTGCTTGAACTGTCATAAAAGTAGGATCCAATATAGTACAGAACAGAAATAAAATATGTAGAGGACCAAAACGCATTCATTCATTCATTCACTCATTCATTCATTCATTCATTCATTCTCCTTCAGCATTCATTCACTCTCAGTTACCAAAGAACAGCACTAGAATGGAAAATTACAATAGAAATAACAACAACTTGATAATTGAGAGTTGATCAAGAGATCTGAGATTGTTCAGGGGAGTTCATATCTTCTCGAAGCCCAGAGGGCTGGTGCTGAGCTGTCACTAACATAATGATAGCCAGGGAGGTACCCAGCTTACCATGCATGCACGGGACTGCATACAAACACCATGCAGTGCAGCTGCTGCGACACAGATCACGTTATGTCAGTAGAAATCCTTTCAGGGGCCTGGAGAAGCATAGGCCGTTGCCGTTATCACAGTTTACATCTTCCAACTAATATTTGCCCAGCTTGGGGGCATGAAACTTCAGACAGCGCCAAAATGTGCATCAGAGTCCCTTGAGGTTTTGCACTAAGCACCTTCTGCAAAGATTTTGATGGGAAATAATCTGCAAATAAATAACAGAGAATTGTTTAAAAAGACTAACAGGGTATTATTTTACAATTTGGCTGGCAATATTTCTTTTTAGCAAGTTGGCATGTGCTTGTTTGTTTATTTTTTTCCCTAAAACATGCTGCTTTAGCCAGAAAATAGTCTCATTTTCATTCAAAAGAAGCTATTGACGCTTTCCCAGTTTTGCAGATCTTTCCTTTGTGAAACCAGCTTCCCTTAAATGCATATCCTCCTTTCAGCAGGACAAATAGAGATTACAACAATAGCTACTTTAAATGGTATTTATTAGAAAGTCACACACAAGGTTCAAATCATAAGGAAAGTTTTGTAAAATTTTGCCACATAAAAATTGAAACTCTTACAGGTCAAAATAAATCATCCCAAATTAGGTCAGACAGAAATGAGGAAAGTATCATAAAACATATCACAGACATAAGAGTGGATGCTTTAGTATATTAGAACTCTTTCAATTAAATAATAAATATCTAACATCCTAGTGGAAGGAATGCGGTAAGGAAGTAATTCATAAATAAAGAAACTCAAATGCCAAAGAAACAGCAGAACAACTGTTTGATCTCAATAGCTAAAGTATGATAGAACCATTAATGCTCACAAGACTGATACAGTTTGAAATTAACCTCAGCGATTATATGGCAAAACGAACATCCTTATGCACTTCTCACTGGGAAAGTAACTAGACAATTGTGTTGTAGAAAAATTTGGCAGTATAATTTGACAACACCAAAATTATATATCTCTAGAAGAATTTGTCCTGAAGAAATTATAAAAATAACTGGTTTCTGGATGGAGAGATGGCTCAGTGACTAAGAACACTGGCTGTTCTCGCAGAAGACCCGGGTTCGAATCCCAGCACCCACAAAGCAGCTAACAACTGTCCGTAACTCCAGTTCCAGGGGATCCGACAGACTCTTCTGTTCTCCAAGGGCATTGCACGACACAGGTGCACTTGCCTACATGCAGACAATACATACATACACATAAAATAAATAATAAATATTTTAAAAAGATAAATGGTTTCTCCTTTAGGAAATTTTAATGCAAAACAAAATGTACAGATTATGTAAGGAGGTACATTTTGGTGTTTTAAAGAAAAGCTAACACAGTAGTCCCCTCAGAGTGCTGTAGTTCAAGACCTGAGGTGAACCCTGTGTAGCCTATAAAGATATACCTTTGATAAAACTTAGTTAATAAATTAGACACAGAAAAAGGTTAGCAAAAATAGCTACTACACAACAAAACAATTACTGTATTAAATATAATGAGACTTACTTGAACACAAGCATTATATGCTGTGACAGTCAGTAGGTCAGCTCTTGATTTTGAGCAGCAGCCCCTGGGATTTCCCCCCTCTCTGCCCACAGGGGAAGCAGGGACTGGTGTAATGTTCTGCCATGGAAGCGCACTTTCTGACTAGAGCCCAGTCACAGAAGGAGAAAACACACAACAGAAAAGCATTTTATTGGCTGTGAGTTTAGCACTCACTGTTGCTCTAATTTATGTTTTATCTTATGCTCCATCACTGTCACTCAAGCACTCATGGCTGAAGCATATGCATCCAAATGGTAACTCTAAAATGGGGCTGGGCCCTCTATAAATTGTGCCTGTGTGCTTTCCATTTACGAGAGAACACTGGAGGAAGGAAAGGCTGATCAAGCGGATTGTTTCTGAACATCAGCTACCTCCTGACCCTCCCTTATCAGCTTGAGCCTAGTTCTGCAAATAGGCTCTGCTGAGCCCATTTGGTGGATGCTGATGGCATCTAACAAGGCTTATCTCATTCCACCCTTGGTATCTGATCCAGCTTGCTGCATGCTCACCCTGAGACTAACTCCTGTGTTCGCTGTCATTTTCCTTTATCCTCCGGCCTTGACAACTGCTGTGGTAGCTATTCTTGATTGCTTACCTGACGGAATGAAAGCACCTAGGACCTTGGTAAAGCACATTTCTTGGCGGTGCTTCTGAGAGAGTATTGCCAGAAGCCATCAGAGGGTGGTCAGCAAACTGAGAGGAAAACCCATCTTGAACATGAGTGGTACCAATAAGCTGGGGCGGGTGGATCCAAAGGCAGAAAGAGGAAGCTCCATTGTTCTTCCTGAGTAGGTACACATCTTTGCTGCTGCTATTGCCTGTGGACGTCAGACTCCAGCCTCTTCACCCTGTCAATACCAGCACTCAGTGGCCTGCTGGGGAGTCTTCAGAGCATTGACTTCTGGCTGGGGGTGCATCACCAGCCCCTCCTGTTCTGAGGCTTCCAATTTCTTGCACCAAGTGGGAACTGGTTCCTCCAGTCTTCTAGCCTGCAGATTATAGACCTGTTACAGCCTCTAATCATGTGAGCCCATCCAATAAACCAGTTTTGTAGCTATAAGTAACTGTATATGGAGGTATTCTCCTTTAGAGAACCCTGAGCATTTGGCTATAATTCCCCAACCTGCCCTGCTGTTTCAAAGTTGAGGTCAGTGTCTCTTCCCTGTGTCTTGAATAAAGGCTGTCTTCTCATTCTTAGCAAGTATCTTATGAGTAATTTCCAACACATTTAACAGCACAAAATATGTCCAAACCCCCATCCCAGACAATGGGAACATGACCCATGACCCATTGCTAATCACAGTGGATTTGACTCATCCCTAGTATTTATTCTGATGGAAAATCCACCTGCAATTACAGAGCTCTGGACTAAGGGAGGGATTCAGAAATGAACTTTTGTTTAGCATACAATCATCTTTCACAAGTTTAGAAAATACTCAGGAAGGACACAGGTAGAATTTGGCGTGGTAGGAGTCTAGGTAGCATCCAGATTTTTGCAAATACATTTGATTTTTATTATCCACAAATTCCATATATACAGATACTCCTGTGTGGTAATCTCTATCTTAATCTCTAGTCAGAGATCTCAGTGCCTTGGTGACCATGAGCAGAGTTGGGGAACAGTGTGAGTCACTGGATACACATGTTCTGGCTGAGATTGAACAAGGCAGGTACTCTGCCTTGTGTTGGAGCCCCTCCTGACAACAAATAAGAGTCTGGTTTGGGTTTTTTTTCCCCCAGTCTATGTTGACCACAATCTTTATATTGTTGGCCTCTTTTCTTGGTGATTTTCTGTTTAAAAATGACCCTCAAGTGTACTGTAGAAGCGTTGTCTCATGATCCTCAGCCATGGTTCATGCTGCAGCATGCCTTGTGGAGAAAATAGCTGTATCAGTAAGCTTCACTCCAGTTGTGACAATGTTGTAGAAGATAACTAACATGAACTCCAACCCCCGCTTGTGCATGACTTGCGTAATAGGAAAGAAAGTACCATTCTGGGAAGTGGATTGTAGGCAGAGGTGTAGGCCCACCTGGAGATGGGATGCAGGGGCAAGCTGGTGCTGACTTTGACTGGGCCTGTGCTGTTCTGGGCTCTGGGCTGAGCTCACACAGATTGGGGTCGTGCCCTTGCCCACTCCACGGAGGCATTATCATTTTGATCTCTCAGCTCAGAGGTGGGATTTAAACTATGAGGCTCTCTGTCAAAAGGCTGAGAAAGGGCACAGGTAGAACTTGGACCACTGTCTGTCATTAAGGTTGGAATGATCACGAATACAAATGCATACTTTAACGTTATTGACATTGAAAACGAGATGAAGACGCTGTGCTGCCTTCTGCTGAGTGTGGTTCCGTGTAGCATAAACATTGTGGTACACTGTGTGGACCCAGTGTTGGGTCCCTCTCATCCAGATATGGAAGGCAAGAGATCCTGAGTTGGGGGCTGGGTGGTCTCTGGGGTGTAGGAGTCAACTGCCCCTTGGAATTGCCTTCTCCAGTTCAGAGGTGTAATGTTTTATCAATTGATTTCTCTCTGTAGGTAGTTTTCAGCATGGAAGCCAGTGAATTCCGGAGGAGAGGGAAGGAGATGGTGGATTATATAGCCGACTATCTAGAAGGTGTTGAGGGACGTCAGGTCTACCCTGATGTGAAGCCTGGCTACCTTCGGCCCCTGATCCCCAGCACTGCCCCCCAGGAACCAGAAAGATTTGAGGACATCATCAATGACATTGAGAAGATAATCATGCCAGGGGTGAGTATGTCCCTGAGGTCAGAGGACAACAGGGCTTATGCTGATGGAGCATCTACTGGATGCTATCGTCCCTGTGCCAGCAGATCCCCATAACATTCAGCCTGAAGAGAAGCTCCCCTATTATTATCAGAGTTTTACAGCTGAGGCAACTGAGGCTCAGAAAGGTTAGGTGATCCATGGATCCAGGATTCCAACCCAAATTATATGGGCTCCAAAGGCACTACAAGGACTTTCACCCAAGACTCTCAAGACTCAGTACCTCAATACACTAGGTTCCAAGAGTCTCTTATCCTATGGCAGCAAGACAGAAAAAGCCCCTGGTGGCTGATGGCAAATAAATTAATTGTCCTACGTGAAGTAGATTTCTATCATATGTGTGTGTCAGAAGGTGACGTGTATATGGAAGAAATGTTTTCTTTGTTTGGGCATGAACGATGTGTACTGCTTCTCCCCAAGGGCACAAATTGCTGAACCAGAAACAAACAGGGCCAGTTGCCATCCCTGATAGTCAGAGGGGTCAGAGGGCTGCAGTGACCTCAGTGGTATGTCTTCACAGTATTATTTTACCCATCAAGCAATTGGCCTAAAAGCCTGTCCTTTAACATGGCTCTGGACAAGTGGGCCTGACCCTATTCACCGAATCAAGTGCAAAGTCTGGGGTCTGGTGCTGGAAGAACTGGCAGATTGCATGCCCCACTCCCAACACTTGGGTGGAGTCCTAGTTTGTTCTTAATTGCTGTGACAAAATACTCTGACCACTACCAACTTGGGGAGGAGAGGTTTATTTAGCTTACATATCCCAGGTCACAGTTCATTAGGGAGCCCAAGGTAGGAACCCAGGGCAGGAACCTGGAGGCAGGAGCTGGAGCACAGGCCATGGAGGAATGCTGCTTACTGGCTTGATCCCCTGGCCCCTGCTCAGCCTGCTTTCTTATGCAACACAGGCCCACCTGCCCAGGGGTGGCATCACCCACAGTGGGCTGGGCCTTCCCACATCACTCATCAAGAAGATGCCCCTTAGACATGGCCACAGGCCAGTCCAATAGAGGCAATTCCCCGATTGAGGCTCCCTCAACCCAGGTGTGTCAAGTTGACACCAAAGCTATACAGCACAGGTGGTTATAAGGTGAACGGGAAACAAGCAAGTGATACACAGGGCAGGACGGAGCTGGATCATGGGCACTCTTGTTTTCAGGCAGAATGCAGAAGCTCTGAGAAGGCATCTAGCCAATTCAGGTCAGTTCAGGCCTCAAGCCCTCAGCTTTAGAGAGTTCAGTTCCAGAGCATTTCTCACGGCCCCCACCAAGTTTCATCGTCAGGAGATTTTCCCTGACATTTGTTCTTTGGATGGAACTCGGGATTCCTGGTCTGACCCACAAACTGTGCAAATACACTAAGCCAATCAGCATAAAACCCTTCCAGAGAGACACAGTTAAATGTCAGGCATAGGAGGAATACAGGAGGTAGTGGTAGAATGTGTGATCTTCCTGCTCGATTCTCTGATTCTACGATTCTACTGAAGTATTTACTGTATAGAGCAGGACTGGGAAACTCATAGGCTGTGGGGGCAGCTCCCTGCTTGGCATTTGAAGCCCTGCCTGCTGCCAACCCTATGATTGAAGGAAAGCTGGGGAAGGCTCTTGTGTTATGCCCAGTCAGTGTGGGACCATCTGCTTCAAATGCTCTGTAACTATTCACGGAAAGCACAGGTGTGTCCTTCTACCCTGGCCTTTCCAAAATTGCCAGAGCAGGTTGGGAGGAGATAGAGTTTAGATCATGTAGGGCCTCCAAACGCTTGAAAGAAACTTAGGCCCTAGGCCCCAGCCTTGCACTCTGGCCAGTGTGCTTGTACCTTCCTTGGCACTTTCCTCCATGGGCCTTTGCAAGTTACCATTTACAAAGGCATCTCCGTAAAGACAAGCAGCACATTACCAATACGGGTGCTTTTTTATTTTATGAGTAGGAGTGTTTTGCCTGCATGTATGTAAGTGCACCATGTGTGTGCAATGCCTGTGGAGGTCAGAAGCTGAGCTACCTCCAACCCCCACAGATGTTCTTATTTTTAAACCTGAAAGTTCAGTTTTTCTTTCTAAAGTCTCCTGGACTCTGTTGAACACACCACTCATCTCCTGATGTTCATCCTCTTAAACATCTCCTCGGGCCTCTGAGGCTCACTCTCACCCCTTATGCTTCTCTCTGTCTCTCTTTATATATCTGTCTCTGTCTCTCTAATCTCTGCCTCTTTCTCTGTCTCTTTCCTTCTCTCTGTCTCTTTCTCTCTCGTGTCTCTCTCTGTCTCTGCATCTCTGTCTCTCCTGTTCTTACTCTCATCTCCCTTTCTTGCTCTCTCTTTCTCTCTGGCCTGATAATCTGGGAGCGACCACAACTGTAGTGGGACTTGCTGAAATCTCCCAGTTCTTGGTGAACTATCCTAGTTGGCTATCTTCAGGGATTGCTTGTGCCACACTTGGATAATAGGTGCTTAATACAGAGAAAAGACCTGTTTATATTTTTGCCAAGTCTGTAAAATGACAATTTCTTAGTCAGCTTTCTTTCCTTATAACAGATAGCTGAGATGATTAACTTACAAAAGTACAGGATTCACTTTGGCTCACAGTTTTGGAGATTCTACTCCAGAAAGAACCCCTTACTCCTGTGGCTTTTGGCCTGTGATGAGCTAGCACATTATGGCAGAAGCATATGGCAGAGCAAATCTGTTCCCTTCCTGGCTAGAAAGCAAAACAAAGAGACCAAGCTCTTACAGTTTCTTTTGAGGACACATCATCAATGACCTAAAGGCTTCTCCCTGTCTCCCAACAGTGTCACCCTGTGGGAATGACTTTTATTAATGGATATAATTTGGACTAATGAATTTTAATTAACCCCAGAAAAACCATGTACTTTTGTGTCTTGGGACCTTGGTACCTGACCTCGTTTCCTAGGCAACCTCAATTTAGTATTCTACCCAAAAAGATAATGAATGAATGAATGAATGAGGGTAGGCTTGATAATTAACATATCAGAGCACTGAAAGGCTGTGCAGTCATCTCCATTGCACATAGTGAAGGCTGGGAAGGATGTGTGACCTTGGATGAATGAGATATTCTAGAACTAGGGATAGAAAGACCAGATGGTATGTTCAGATTGGGTGGAGCCAAGTTTGTACTTCCCCAATTGAAGCTGGAGAAACCATTTTGAATAATGGGTGGGGCTGGATTTGGAACACAGAGTTTCAGAAACAGAGTTCCAGAGATGGCTCTACCAGCACAGTCTAGGGGACAGGCAGTTCCAAGAAACATCTAGGAGAACAACTGTCCTCGGAGTTCAGGCCCACTCTTACAAACTATATTTAAGAGTTAGGTTTTTAGTTGTTCAGGTAATTTTAATGTTGGTGTGGTAACACCTCGTCCCCCTAGGGAGCAAGCCTCTAACATATGGGAGCTTTGGAGACACTCAAGAGTTACACTGTGACAAGGCATTATAACAAAGCGCATAGACCAGATGGTTTCAGTATTTCTCACAGTTCTGGGGATTGGGTGTCTGGGATCAGGGAGCTGGGTTCAGGTGAAGGCTTGTATCTGTGTGACAAAGAGGTGGCTCTCTCTTTTTAGAATGTGTGTGTTTAATTAACCTCCTTTTAATGACTCCTTTTATACTTGCAACCCAATGCCATACATACCCTGCAGACGTTTATTTTCATCTTTACTTCAGTAGTCACATGGATGGCTTTGAGCTCCCAGCCTCTGTAACAATGGGGTCTAGGCCTTTCCTGCTCTCACAATCACAAGTCATCTCTCCCTATACACTGGTGAAGAATTGATGCTTGTTTTCTGCCTCCCCCTCAGCTCAATTTCTGAGATCTCATCCCTGGGACAGACATCTCCCTTAAAATTTTTTTTAATATATTCTTTAAGCTTTTAATAATTCTTTAATCCCAGCAACTTGGGAGACAGAGAATA